TACTCCCTAACTTCTTGGAGTCTCAAGTCAAAGCATGTGATGGCGGGGTAGCGCGCACATTGAAGTGGTGCAATTAATTTTTCGAAGCCACGTAGTCCTACGCGGTTTAGCTGCACGAACTACCGACGATCACACTGCCGAGGTCTACGCGTTTGAAATTGGCTTTAATCCAAAATCTTTCGCGGCACGAAAGGGGTACTCACAGTTCAGCTAAGAGTGCACAGTGTAATCGATAACGACGAGGAGGCAGTCAGTGTTTTTTTGAGTAAAGTATGCAAATTAGGGTGCAGTTGGAAAAAACTAGCTGGGGTGACGTTCGGAAAAATTTTTTTTCAAAACCAAGAGCACTTTGAGAACAAATAGCCTTAGGCAACAAAATCAAGAATAGTATCGACTCACAATTAACTAGTATACAATCATTCAAGTGGCATGTTCCTGCACGAATTACTAATGGACCCTAATTTCAATTTACTTTTCACCCACAGCCTCCCAGTAAACCAAAAATAAAGCTAGACTGCAACTAATGGGGCCACAAAAAGGATGAACGATTAGCAAAGCAAGTTATCGAATAAGGTGCCCGTCTAACGCAAAGAAAAAAAACGTTTGGCATACGTTTACACAAATGTCAAAGGTGTTGGTCAAGATTAAACGATTCGACAGAGAAGCAGGAGCAAAGTTCCATTCTGCCTTGGGGCCAATTCTCGAGCCCCATCAGTGGCTAGCAGTAAAAGGGGAGACTGTAATGGTTATTTCCGGCTTATTAGCTGTTATAAATCAGCCATACCCCAGGTGGGGCACCAAGCGATGCGGCCTGTTCATCGGGAGTCTAAAGCTCTAACCATTGAGACAGGAGCTCGTTGTCTCGCCGGCTTAGACGGGTGAGTTACGTTAGGGATCAGTGAAAAACTAACATGGTTGAATAGACTCGTTAATGTGGAGAAAAATGATTTTAATAGCTCACTTGGCTTGAGCGTTGGCTGTACTCAAGCCTTCCCCTTGTTGACGTGGGTTCGACTGCCACCGAATTTTTCACAATTTGCTCAAATGAATTATTCAAAATTCCCAAACCCCTCATAACGATTTCAAATACATTTTGTAGTTCCGTCCCCCAAAGAGGATGAATGGTAGAGCCTTACTTTC